GACATATGTAAAAAACCGCGGAGTTCAGCCAAACTGTACTGGTGGTTTTTCCCAAAACCCCTTGTTTCTTGGTAAAATCTGCTTTAATTCATCTGAAAAGCATTTTCAAACAAAAATAAGGTGATATCAGTTCATCGAGCTGCATCGAAGCATATACGAGACAGATATTTTTAACTGAAAAATTGTTTTCCATCTTTAAAACCGGGTTTCCGAAAAAGCATCATTCAGGATTTTAGACCGTGCGCTACCATCCATCTTCAATGTCACTCTACCTTTGACTCGAGAGGCAACTATATGTGATACCTCGAATGACAAATGTAAAACCGCCAAAATCGATTAAACTCAGGTGCTAGAGGTTTTTCCGAAATAAAACCGGTTTTTCAAAAGATATGCTTAGTGCAGTGAGAGCGCGAGAGTTAGCGAACGCCTAATCAGACTCAGAATCGTGAAAAACAGTGAAAAGATCCTACGCAAACGTCGAAAAATTACTGAGATTTTCGGGATTAAATAGGATTACAGGAAAAACTTTCATAGAATGACAGAAGTACTTTTATAGACAAAAAAATTATTTTATGGAAAATCTGTATCATTATATTTTTTTTATATAAAATAATTTTTTCTTTCTAAAAGTTGCGATGGTTAAAACCTGATTTTAGAGATTTCTATAAAATTATTTCGAGACCCAAAACCCACAAATTATTGTTTGCATCATTTTCTCTAATACCTTTATTATTAAAAAAGATTTTTTTTCTATAAAATAATTTTTATGGTTAAAACGGGTTTTACAGTTTTCTATAAAATTATTTAAAATTCCATAAATGACAAAAAGCCAAAAAAGTAATTTTATAGAATTCTATAAAACATTCAATAAAAGTTTTTTCTATAATCGTATTCTGAGTCAGATTTTCGCGAAAAAATGAAAATTAACGGAAACTTTCAAATCATACATCATTCGGCTCAGTTTTATGAATATGATACGAATATACTACTTTTATTGCATAAAAAGTGAGTTCGGGTGAAGAAAACTGTTTCCGGTTTTCTCACTCCTGATTAAGAAAAAGTGAATTTTCTCATTAATAAAGTAAAATAAATAAAAAAGCGAAGCGTACTTTTAAAGCTCATTTAATGGCGGATCTAGTGAAATAAAAAAATCGGCCTCATTTCTTTAGAAAAAAACTAGGTAGGTTTATAAAATTGCGTCGGATCTTTTTACAGGGGGAGTCCAAGACGTCCATACTTGATAGACCTTTCATTTCAACCTCGATTAGACATCATTCTCATACTCAGTTTCTAATGCTGAATCCCAAAAAGATACTTTCAAAGAGTTAAAAGAACGAGAAAGAAAAAACTTTAAACTTCTTTAAAACCGAAGGTTTTTTCTGAAATTTGAGACCCTTCTGGTATTTTGAAGATTTTTTATTCAAAAACCAACTTTTTAGAGCTGAAATGTAGATATTCGTGGTCAGCGTCAAATTCTGCATTGATGGATATTTAATATATCAGAAAAAAATCTTGCTCGAATTTTGAATTGCGTGTAACTTAGATCTATTGGTGGTCTGGCCACAAAAACAAAAGTATTAATTGGTCTTGGTATATTCTTGGTGTGTGCAACAGCCGTAGCTGTACCAGTTGGTGTGATTTTTGGTAGATACTCTAGCCTAGCATCTACTAGTACGTCGTCTTCCTCATCAACAGCAGCATCCATTAGTGCCGCGACCACTACTGCAGCAGGTGAGTTTGAAAAATTCTCAAAGTGTAAGCCTTCGCTTTTTGTACCGCATTTCCTTTTACTATCCAAAAGCTTCCTATGAAATGTAGAAGATATCCTGTGTAATAATGTTACGTTTGCTTGTCCTAGGGTGTGCCACAGCAAATATGAATGCATATCAGCTGTCTACAAGTCTCCCTACACAATGCACGACAGTTTACACCGGAAGTAGTCCTCCTGCAGTTGGCACCGATGCTATAACTGATCCATGTAGTGGCAGCTCACAACCATCATCACCATATATGGCGGCTGCCTCACCTGCGCCTACAACAGACGGTCTTTGTTTTGCAGATGCTGATGGTGTGAATCAGTATTATGTTTATTCTGGTAATTGCTATTATACATGTAATTCCGACGCGGATTGTGGACAGGATGGTGTGTGTATTCAGACAGGCAGTGGTGCGAGTGGATGTGCTGGTAGTACTAATGTCTGTGGTATAATTGCAACTGGTACAAATTGTGGATTAACGTTGACACCAGGATGTGCACCTACAAACACAACTCCAGGAACAAGTAAGTGAGAGACTAGATTTTTCGCCCAAAAAACTTTTAATGCTTCTGAACTGTATTTCTCTATAGACGGTTCGGCTTTTGGTGGTGGTTGTTTTCATGGTGATGATCGTGTTATGTTGGTTGGTCATACACGTTTTGAAAAACAAGAAAAGAAGATTTCTGAACTTAGAGTTGGTGACCGAATATATTCGATGAACAGAAATACATTTGAACTCAAAGAAGACGAGGTGATAATGATCGTACATACTGAATCGCAAAGTGCTGGTAAAAACTTTTATCTCCTCATGTTGTACTTTATCACAGATATCTAATTAAAGAATGTATAAGGATGATTTTACAGTAGGATCTCAAAGTTGACCGAGTTTTCTTCTATATGCTAGAAAAATGAGGTACTGTTTTAACTGATCTACGATATGAAGTTTTTTTTTCAAATGTTTGTAAATTCTCTGGTTCCAAGAAAAACAGTGAAACAATTCTGTAACTTTTGACCTTTTGTGAGAAGATAAAACGTGCTCCTAATTTTATCCGTTTTGTTTTTGGCAGAATTATTTTATACAATTGCAACTGTTCATAATTACAGTTTGAGTATGACAGGCAATCATTATATACGTGTCTTTAAAGAAGATGATATGTCCGTACATTACCTGACCGCCGATCAGTTACGTGTGTTTGAACATTCCGTGTTTATTTCCTCATCGCCACACCCGTCAAATACTGTTCAAAAAATTAAATCCATCAAAAAATCGTACAAAGCTGGTGTCTATTTACCAGTAACATTGAGTGGTGAAATTTTAGTTAATGGTATTTCTGCATCGTGTTATGCAAATCCCGGCTTTTATTTCCCAATAACCCATCAATTGTTACACAATGCTCTGTTACCATTTCGTCTATGGTATAAATTATCTTTAGCAAAATTATTTTGGATAGATGATAAACAAGAAACAGTGGAACACGAAGGTGTAAATTGTCTTATTAAATGGACAATTGAACACGAAATTTTTATTCGAATTGTTTATGGTACGGTTGTTGGATCAATTGTTTATATTAATACAGAATTACTAGTACAAATCATCGATTTTTCACATTTACTAATTCGTAAAAAACTTCATTCGTATTAGTCAGACTGGAATTCACACTAAAACTGATAGCGTATTTTTAATTTTTGTAAAACAATTTATGGTTTTCTAGTACATTTAAAATGTGAGTTTCACGTCAATTTTTCCGTAATTTTTTTTGATCTTCTAGTATTGTGAATAAAAACTTAGATAATATGCTTTACTTTTGAAATGTGAATTTTATACCTACTATTTATTACTTATTAGGTGAAATAAGCGAAACAAATGCCAAATGTAACGATTCGGAATTTCTATCTTGTGACATAACTAAATGATAACGCTACTGGTTCTTCTTTCTGCTGTGTCTTCAAACAAAAAATAGCCTTATTTATCTTTTCTTATGTTCTTTTTGCTCGAATTTTAGCGCAAATTAGAATAGTACTTTTTCTCTAACATTTTCCAAGGAAAATGACAGATTCAAATTTTCCCTAAGGCAAACTGGAATTCTGATTTGCCCTATAGGGGAATTCTAAATTCTCCTAGAGTAAAGTAAATCTAGTACTATTCTAGTTTCCTCTTAGGAGAAACTGGAATTCATGGTACGATAGCATCTTTTCTCTATCCTAGGAGAAAGAAGAAAAAGAATTCATACACATAACCGATTTCGTTCATTTACACGACTTTACGATTTAGTTCTATCGTAGCAATAAGTAATAATAAATCATTCTTTTTGTTTTTAATCTCTCATTTTTGTTAAATAACAATTATAGAAAATAAAATATACAGCATTACTAATCTTATTTTTAAAGCAACACCACTAGGACAAACCTACGTTGAAGTGATTTAAGCAGATAAGTAATTTCTGTTTTGAACTAAACTCATCAATGAATCTACAACGTTTTTCTGCGCTAGTCATTGAGCTTAAAAATCTTCACATCTGGCAGCTTTAAATGTCTCCTTATATATTTTGCTATATTAATAGGACTATCTTAATTAGGATTACCACATATAAAATGATGATCAACTATGTGCGATCTGAGCGAGCAGAATTTTGTTTAGAGGTCGAAGATTGGATCATAGAGCATTTTCAAAAGTAATCAGTCTTTTGATCTTATCCATCAACGACTGTTAGAAGTATCATCTGCTTAACTAGTATTTGATGTATACTGGAAACAGGCTTGGGTGAGTCCGAGTCCGGACTGGAAGATTTTTTGGCGGAATCGGACTCGAACGGGAGATTATTTTAAAGGACTTGCACTTGGACTTGAGTGTTTGTATGCCGAGTCCGCCCTATTCAACTTTCGACACAAATCAACAGAGAAAAATGAAAAGCGAAATAACAACACCTACTGTTTTACATGAAACTGAAAATGCTGTTCGGGCGACGGACATGGAACGTAACCTTGTTTTCGAAAAATCAAACACCTACTCAGGGCTCAGCAAATTAAAATATAAACCAACCTAATCAAAAAAGAATCTACAAGATTATCGGACTCGAAATGAACTCGGACTCGGCTTGAACTTTTAAGGACTCGGACTCGATATCCCTCGGACTCGCCCATGCTTGACTAGAAACAATACTAGGGCCGTTATTAATGAGGATGAGTCTATTGACACCACTAGGAGGTGCCAGTACTGCTATTGACACCGGTAAGTGGTGGCAAGCAGAGCTATTGACACCACTGAGTGGTGGCTCTAAGGGGTATTGGCGTCTACTGGAAGTGGTAGGAAGAGCTATTGACAGTGTCAATAATGACTATTGATACCTAGTGGACTTGATTTGAACGGCTAATGATACCTACAAGAGGTGTCAGCAAGAGCTATTGACACCACTAGGCTTTAGTGCACGACTGAAATTTAGAGGTATAGCTTCAACAAGTTGCATTCATTGATAATCCCTTTATCGGAATATACTAATGTCTTTTAAAACTCTTCAGAATAAAGGTGCGATCCGCGAACTGCTCCTTTGACTAAGTTGAGAATGTAGAGTGTATCATTCTGATTAAGAGGCAAATAGTTCACGCAAGAGTTGATATGGCAAAAGCAAGTAAATTCTATTTATTTTATTTCACACCATTCCCGCCATCAACTGTAATAATTGCTGATTTATTAATGTTTTGATTTGATCATATCTCTAAGCGTGACGTTGGAATTTGAACAGGGGGTAGTGTATAGTTCACATAAGAGCCAAGTACACTAATTATCAATATGGAATTACTTCATGTCACTATTCGATTTATGAGAAGTAATGTGTATTATATTTCAAAACTAACTAGAAGTATCCTATTTTCAGAAGTTGATAACGTTCGGTAAAAGCGCAGTTTGGAGCTTACCGGCATGTTGCCTTATGATGAATAATGGTTCAGCTATAGCAATTCATGCAAATAACCGTGTGAAAAATGCTTGTGAAAGATTCTGATTCTTGGTAGCCAATAAAGACTTTCTATTGTTATTTGAGTTGTAGAATTCTTAATATGCCCTTACTCATCTCTTTGCCTTTGGGTATAACAGTACCTGTTCTCATGTAGCCTGTTGTCGGTTGTGATGAGGTTAGAAAACGAATTTGCAGTAAGCAAAAATTCTTCATGACGTCTACTTGTTAAGATCTGAGACGTAACGTGTGCACAATAATTCAGTCTGTGTATGCCAACACTAAATTTTCCTCACAATTCTCTGCGAAGTAAGAAAAACATTAGAAGAAAATGTCCAAGTTTGGACTATATTACTTCGCCAAGCTATATATCCAAGTAATAGCAAAACAATTATTTCGGTTCAATTTCAAACTCATCAGAAAAAAATTTTTTACATGCTAAAAATGTTTCTGAAAAATCTCAAGGATATTAAGCCGTAAGTCGCCATCCCACCTCCTTCAATTTGATTCAACCTTTAATCAGAGAGCTACCCATATGTGATACATCGAATGACATATGTAAAAAACCGCGGAGTTCAGCCAAACTGTACTGGTGGTTTTTCCCAAAACCCCTTGTTTCTTGGTAAAATCTGCTTTAATTCATCTGAAAAGCATTTTCAAACAAAAATAAGGTGATATAAGTTCGTCGAGCTGCATCGAAGCATGTACGAGACAGATACTTTTAACTGAAAAATTATTTTCCATCTTTAAAACCGGGTTTCCGAAAAAGCATCACTCAGGATTTTAGACCGTGCGCTATCCACAGTGGGTAATCTGGCCTGGGCAGTGGACATTGGGGATTAAATGTATTCAGTCACATAAAAACTCAGCGAAAATAGATTTTCGCATGCGCTCTTTCTTATGGAATAGTTTTGACAGTGCAGAGTTTTTCAAAAAGGGTTTTCTGGAAAATCTTTTGGGGTTTTACGACTAAAAAATGCCGAAGTTGACAAATTTTTAAAAGTTTATAGGTTTTCGCATGCGCGCTTTCCTATGGAATGGTTTTTGAGGGTATAAGGGTTTTGAAAAAGGAGCTTCTAGAAAATCTTTTGGGTTTTTACGTCTAAAAAGTGCCGAAGTTGATAAATTTCTACAAATTTATAGGTTTTTCAGTGTGCTCTTTCCAAACTGATTAATGTCATGTGGTATCGCCGAGGTTTTTTTGAAAAATCAGTTTACAAAAAAATTTTTTTTGTAGAAAAAAGGGCAGAAAGAGACTAGTTATAGGATTAATTTTCACTGTTTTGAAAGGAAAGTCGGCTCTCCTCCCTCGTCAGCGCCCACCACCACCCCTTGACTGTCGAATGTAGTTATTGATGGTCAAATCACTGAGGAGGAAATCTCTCCAACCGCTACAACGTATTAGACTGTAGTTCAAGTAAAGGTTTTCAGCGATGTGTCGATTTTTCGATTGACACGATTTTTCGCAATCACTTGCCTGAAAATCATTGCTTGAACGGTTCACTCCTCTAATCAATTTAATGGTTGGAGAGATTTTCTCGGTGACTTTTGCATCTTCAAACAACCTTTCCATCAAGCTCATGCAGAAATCTATTGAAGCCAGTGCGAGCACTGGTGGCAAGGCGGACAATTCACATGGCTTACAACTCGTTCTCAATGGAAAAGGTGTTTGAAGGATGCGATCGGGAGAAAAACACGATACAGCAACATTACCGCGAACGACGTTACCGCGAACGACGTTACCGCGAACGACGTTACCGCGAACGACATTACCGCGAAGACTTGTTTGTTGGAAAAGCCGAATAAATGAGGCCGGTTTTGTATTTTGTACATCATGTTTTCAAACTTAACTGACGTTGTGTGGTGACTAGTCATTATCTGATACAGCCACAGATATCTAGTTTCTCATCACGATAATATGTTTTATGCAAAAATACTTTTCGAACTCACTCTCACAATGCCCTCTCCCCACTTCCTACCTCCCTCCACATGATATACAAAGTACAAAGCCAGGCTCATTTATTCTTCTTTTCCAATAAACGAGTCTTCGCGGTAACGTCGTTCACTGTAATATCGTTTTTTGTATTCGCGGTAATGTCGTTCGCAGTAATGTCGTTCGCGGTAATGTCGTGTCACGGAAAAACACGGGAAACTAGAGAACTTAAAGTATCATAACCTATTCTTCACGTCACAACATTATCCTAGTTTAACGTCTTTGCGGACGAAAAACTCACGGACGTCAAATTTTTGCGTAAATAAATATTTTTCAAAAATTCAAATCCTTTGAAATTTGTTAAAGGACACATCACTAGATGCAGTTTTTTACGCTGATTCCAAATATGTCCTCATATTAGCCTAGTTCCTTAGACGATAGAAAGAGTATGAAAAACTAGAATTTTGGAAAATTCATAATTCTGTAAATAAAGCGAACGGCAACTTTCTGATTAATTTTGTAGAAGCACCACCTATGGATGAATAGTCTCTGAAAGTTTCATTAAGTTTACTCATTAGCAATAGACAGCGCGCTTACTTTACTGAACGCAAGTTTTGAAAAAACATCTAGCACAGCAAAAACCCAATTTCTATCAGTCAGAAAAGTCATAAATGAAAAAACTTTTTATGAACAGATAGCCCAAAACTTTAGCTTTTAGACTATATGTGTCTCAATGTGCAACACTTTTGCTTTCTGAAACGAAAAGGGTGTTTTCCGGACAGCATCGTAAAAACGGGACCAGAATTGGCCTATCTTTGACCAGAGAGCTAACTATATGTGATACGTCGAATGACATATGTAAATATCGCCAAAATCGATTAAACTCAGGTGCTAGATGTTTTTCCGAAACAAAACCGGTTTTTCAAAAGATGTGTTTAGTGCAGTGAGAGCGCGAGAGTTAGCGAACGCCTAATCAGACTCAGAATCGTATTAAAATGTTCCTTAAAGTGTACTCTGTCCACAGTGAATACCCAAAACAGCCCGTATCACTGGAGTTATTGATTTTCCAGAAAACCTTGGTTTTTTAGGTAAAATGCGGTTTTTTTCTCAGTCCTGGAACATTTTTATACAGAAATAAAGTGATATTTTGAATCAGTATATAAAACTACATCGAATGACGTATAACGTATTCATTTTCTGAATACAAAGTTTTTCGACAAAAATTTAGGTAAGGGTTCAATCAGGGATTTTTCATCTAAAAAGTTTTTTTCTAAGTTCCGTTGTTTTTAATTTAGAACACAGCAATGTTCAAGGAAAATAATTTATAAGAAAAGACAACAATGTAACATACCCATTATAATATCATCTGAATTATCATTTTATTGTAATTTATAATTTAAAATCAAATCATAGTTGTTGTTGACGATTCGTTCGATTTCTGTAACAGTGGGCAGAATTATCAATTCAGATAAAATTTTTCAAATAGCTCCATACATCCGCCTCACGTTCCAATGATCTTAAAGAAAAATATTACCATTTTCGGTATGATTTGTATCATGATCGTTGTTGTTTTCTTCTTAATCATTCAAATATAAAATCTATTAATAAATATACAATAAATAGAATGATGAAACTATTGGTGAAAAAATTAACTTACTTTGACTATACAGAGCAGGTGAATCAGTAGATGTATTATGATTGTTATTATCTTCATCATCGGAAAATGTAAAAGCTACTAATTAAGGTACTATAACCAGATAGATCAAAATATCAAATGAAAAATAAAACCAACCTTGTGCACACATAAGAATCAGTAGATGTAGAATGATCGGGAGAGCATAGCAAGGCTTTGTCTTCTTTTAACTTACCGATGTTTGCTACATAATCGTTCTATAGGGAAAATATTCAGTAAACAAAATTTTCTATGTGATAAATTAAATATGATACTCTTTTTTTATGCAGCAAACAATAAAAATGAATTTAAATAACTTTCGTCGATTTTTTTCAAGTGAACTTACTATATGCATTTACATCTTCATCCTTTGTCTATTCATCCTGGTGATTTTTTCACATTAATCTTGTATGGCTTAGACAACATCTAAAATTTCTATAACAGACGGCTTAATATTATTAAACGAAATCTAAAAAATAAAACAGATAAAATATTAAAGAAACAAATAGTGATCAGCAACGAAAATAATCCAATTTGAATCAGAAACGCACGTGTGACTATATACACGTTGGCGCTCTTAACTTTTTTCGTTTTCGTGCATGATAGCTATATATCCATTCTGTCATAAATACTGATTTTTATAAAAGAAAAAGAAGCCTAAACAATCCTGATAACGCTGAAAGAGATGAAGAGAAATTAACTTTGGAAAAATTCTAAGTTCTAAATTATCTTCAGCGTAAGAAAGCTGAATAGCGAGAACTTTATTTTATTTCAGGTTATTTTGTTAGTCACAATATCACGGATACCTTATTGGTATGTCTACGACATTTGTGTATTTCTCTTTGTGAACAGTGTAAAGTCCAAAATACTGCTAAACGTGAACTAATTAGTCCCTTACTTGCCTTATTATTATCCTGTGATCTGTTCTCGAAGACAATTGCCGAGTAAAACAGATTGCAGTTTGGTCTAAAAGGAATTATGGCTAGAAAAGTTTTGATGTATTTACACAGTTGAATAACTAAAAGTTCACAGTCATTTTCAAAAAATTAAATTTTTTACAAATGATCGCGAACTTTTTGCTCAACCTAGTAGTTGATTATTTATTTCATATGCTGATTTAAAAAGTAGCACAGTTTCTGCTTTAGTCAAGTAAAGAACAGAATAAATGCGAAATATACTTATCTGTTGCTTTGCGCTGATGGCAAAATGGGTTAAATACTACGCTTACAATAAGCGTAACTTGAATCTAATGATCCCTTCAACCATCGATCTCTTCCGGTTCAAATTTATTCCAGATGATAAAGTAACTCGAGATCTATTAGGCTGGCTGTGTGCGAACTGTTCTTGTGCATATTGAAATGGACGCAACCAAGTGAAAAATCATGCATGACCTCAAATTGACATTATGCTCGAATTAAGAACATTGATTTCTTATGTGAATTAATATCTCTTATACATAATTGTTGTTGATTGAGAATTTATGAATGGGTGCCATGTAAAAGGTTTATTGATCTGGTTTTCACAACCAGGTCTTTACCTTTCAGGTGTGCGCATGCACGTGTGTAATTTCAGTTTTTAAAACACTTGGTAAGAACAGAGGTGTATTAAGTAAATGTAATACATAGGTTGCTTGTTATTTTGAAATTCTTTTTGTATATTTTTCCATTAATTTTACCTTAGAAGGTGCATGCAGCCCTCATACAGTGATGAATTCTGTTTTCAAAATTATCTTTAGAAGGGTTTATCGTTCATCCTGATTGTTCTAGCTAATGCTCTGCATTAGAAAATTTGGTGCTTGCTCCGCGCTGAACCAAATTGGATAAAAATTGGGCACCAGATGCAAAATTTGTCGGTGAATCCGACAGCGGGTTCCTTATAATTACATCTTCACTTCTTTTTTGGCGTCGACATAATCAACGTGGTTTTTGCCTAATTGTATTTTTCTCATTGATACCTTTTTTTCGACGCCAAAACAGAAGTGAAGGTGTAATTATAAGAAACCCGCTGTCGGATTCACCGACAAATTTTGCATTTGGCGCCGAATTTTTATCCAATTTGGTTCAGCGCGGAGCAAGCACCAAATTTTCTAATGGCAGTAGCAGAAAATTTCCATTGTCTTACCATTATCCCGATAAGAGACCTTTTAATTCTTTGTAATAGACGGCAAATGATAGCAAGAATTTTAGTTCATGGTAAAGATAGCAAACACCTATGAAATTTCAGTCCATTATCATATAATCTGATTTATATAAAAAGTTAAAAAAATCAACAGAATAAATCATATTCGTGTTCAGGTTCAATATTGCCTGCATCCGAATTGTCGGACACTTTTGGATTTTACTTTAGTGCACATAATATAGTCAAATGTAATATACTCTATACACTAGTACATGATTCTATATATTCGTTGTTCTATAGATTATGCACATGTTTAAACTTTTTACTTTCCTTTCTATCGGAATATGACAAATTACCATGAGGATTCTATTACTTAGTAAATGGAATGGTAAAAGACTATTTCAAATAATGGGAATGGTATGGTAAGTGGCACCCAAAATGGTCATCATAACGAGACTCTACTTCCAACACTTTACGATTAACGTTAAGTAGTTGCCACAACCCATGCAACTTTAACCTGAAAAGTATTCCATTTAATTCTCCATTGGAAATTACCTATAAAACTTAGCTATTAGCTTTTAAGACATTTTCCTTCTTGAAATATGACAACGTTTCTATATGCATGCACGAGAAAATGTGAGTTCATCCAGTATTTTGATCAGTTGAGAATAACAAGATCAATATTTGTAAGCGATCATGCATGTGAAGGGAAGAACTGAACAAAATCATATGTCATATTGATTGTACAAATTAAATTTGCCATGTTTCCTTATAAAACATTTTCTTTGCAAAACTATTCCCGATGATAAGTGACTCGAGCTCTATTTGGCTGACTGTGTGCGAACTGTTCTTGTGCATATTGAAATGGACGCAACCAAGTGAAAAATCATGCATGACCTCAAATTGACATTATGCTCGAATTAAGAACATTGATTTCTTATGTGAATTAATATCTCTTATACATAATTGTTGTTGATTGAGAATTTATGAATGGGTGCCATGTAAAAGGTTTATCGATCTAGTTTTCACAACCAGGTCTTTACCTCTTATACATGTATGAATTGCGTTTTCAAAATTACGAAACAATTATCCTATTTATTCTAATATATTGTATCAAAGAAAAAAATGTTTTCTGGATATGCAAATAATCCATCTTGAGATATCTCAAAATTGTATATATATATATAGGTGTCTAGGAATCAGCACTTTACATAACTTACCACTTGAATAATCCAGAAAAGTGAATGATTTTGTTCATTTAGTAATTTAGGATAAGAGGCGCTATATAGAGGAACGAAGTGTATCAGCTATACATAAGAATGAATATTTTAAAATATGCGTTTAAATTGGAGTTCGCTTAGTATTTTGATAATAACTTCGAAATGACGAAATTAATTTGATTACTCTGCGTTGAAATCACTGTCAAAAATCGGAAGTTGAATTGCATCATTTTTTTTGTGTAAATTAGAGAAGTATAAAGTCCTGGAAGAAAACGTTAGCCATCATTGAGTTCTGAGATTTTTACTAATATGTGCAAGATGCGTAGTGGTGATAGAATAACGTATAACTGTATGAGAGAGTGAAGGTTAAGTGAAAACCTCATTGCTACTTAATGAAGAATGGAACAGAATCAATTTCACCAAAAGAAATTTCGAGCAAAAATATCCACTGTTGTCAAAGGTGATCCTGCAAAATAAGCATAAAATCAGTGACTGCAGATAGCGGTCATCACATCTTCAGCAGCTGAACAAATTTCTCCTCCAAATTAGTCCTTTTTCTGCTAGCTAGAAATTTTCAGCTTGTGTGCCAAATAATGACACTAATTGTTTTTTGATAAGTTTTCAATCAACATGTGTTAATTTCTCTTGCCCAATCCCAGCTGGCGCTGACGGTAATGGAAATTTTTTTCTTGATTATTTAACATCAGCTGCTAATTATGCATTTCAACAATTATATAAAAACAACAGCGGTTCAGTTACTTCGTGGGGTAAATTTTGGATAATAATAGCTCAAACATTCGATTCATATTCAAATGTATTAGGTTATGAATTAATCAATGAACCCTGGGTTGGTGACGCTTATAAAAATCCATCGTTATTAGAACCTGACGTGGCTGATATTTTAAATTTACTACCAGTTTATACACAACTGAATGCAGTTATAAGAACGGTTGATACTAAAGCATTATTATTCTATAAACCAGTAACTTTTGAAATTAATTCTCCTGATATTGCTGGAACAGGTACAATTAAAAGTTCTTACATTTTGTAAATCTTCTATTAAGCTGAATACTATCAAAATATGCTCATAAGAGGGTTAGTCATCGGGTGCTTTTGCTGAAAATTTATTGTACAAATTGAATTTGAATTGTACTCAACACTCCTTCACTATCTTTTTTTAAAGAACATTTCGGCACTCTCTAAACAAAAGGTTTAGATACGAAACCTAAAAGGGTTGAGAGAAGTGCAACCATTTCTAAATCCTTTTAGGTTTTATACGCGAAAAGGTTGAGTACAAAACCGTTTTATTGTATAAATTCCATTAATTCTTTTGTCAATTTTGTTTTGAGCGCGTAGACCTGTTCAGCGGCTCATGCATGCTTTCATAGTATAGGGCGGCCAAAACTAAGCCCAAAAATACCTGAAACTTCTTTAATTTTTGATTTTTCGCAAGAAAATCACATCTCACGTTAGGTGTTGCAAACACACAATTCACTCAACAAAAGTCATATAGCTTGTCTTTGGAAAGTTTTGTTTTCTTACTGAGAAAATTTGCCGACTGGGAAAGTTCGGAATTCTGCCCCTAATTTGCACTTTTCTTCGTCAGAACCCAACTTTTACGCAATGAAAGTATTATATTCGGAATTAGGGTCAAATCTCGAGTACTTTTTTTATGCAAACCGAACGCAGGGGTTTGCTAGAGACTATAGATTCTATGTTGAGCACGTTCCCGAAGCCTTTATCATATCTGTCATTATGCGAACCATAAAATTCTGCGGTTTAGTTAACGAGAGTTAAATATATCCCACTGATGCAGATGATCCATGAACGTTTGATTCAAGCTGCCATTCTGAAAGCCCACAAAAAACAGTACAATGATGGATTCAAATATATTATGAGACATTTAATTCTTTTACTGCAAAGGATTATTTCATCAGAAAGGATGAGTACATGGTGAATACTATTGTCCTGGCTCATCCTGCGCCAGCCGTCATCACATAGAGCCACAAAATCCCGTTGAACAAAGCGAGAGTCTTTCTGCCGATATTGGCCAAACAAACAGACCCGAACGACATGTCAGTCTATACATGTGGAACAGTATGTCTTTTTTATGTTCTTAAATTATTTCTTTGAACATCCTTAGTATGTAAATCAGAGGTATTTTATGGTCTGCTTCATATCAGAGCCAATTTACGCCAAGCTATAGAAAATGATACTTCCATTAGCTGCCAAAGTAAAAGACTTGTTGATTTCCTGGCAGTATCATAGACATATCTTGTTACAACCCTACTAGGCTTTCCCTTAGCTTTTTCAGGATCCGTACAAAATCCTATAACTAGCCGTCCTAAAATAAGGAACTTGTCAGTATTTTGACTATAACTTTTTTTCTTTTCGGCACTCATTCATTGTTTCTTTTTCAAGAGATGCGTACTTTAATTCTCTATCACGTGTAACTACTTTAGTGCTATAGAAGAATTCTAATCACAGCTAACTGATACAGTTTTTTAGGCGTTATCAAATGGCGAGCTTAATTTTCTCATGTCTTAAAAAGTAAATGAATAAAACCGTAAGTCCCTTAGGATAAACTAAACTTTTAATTTCCGCTAAATAAGATGAATTTCAGTTTCTCATAGAAGAAGGCACAGGAAATTGAAGTTTTAACTTCTTCTAAAAGAACTTAAAAGGCGACTATGACTTTCATGGTAATTTTTGACCCCAGAACGGGATATATATAGGTTTGTACAGGAAGACTTCCTCTATCTAGTGGTATATATATTATCAAATTCTGTTGCGTACCGTGAGAGAAAATTAAAGGTAACCCCTCTCTTTTTTAGAAACATTTTTTATTTTTGAGTTAAATATTGTACATTATAGAGTAAAGTGTCCTCTACAAAACAAGGCCACTTCCAGCTCTCGAGACCTTTCGTTGAGGAGATATAAATTTTATTAAAGTTTGTTACTTTATTCTGAGTTATGATCATTTTGTTGGAAGTCTTTGAAAAAGTCACATTTGTGAGATGCCGTCCAAAATGATCATAACTCTATCAGAAAACATAATGGAGAGCTGGGAGACATCTCATTTTGTAGAGAAATCTTTACTTTATAAGTCTGACTGTTTCAAAAGTTTATCAACTACTGAATGTAAGAGAAAAACGTTTCGCAAGTAAAAAAGTAGGTGTTTTTCAGCGTAAAGTAACAAACTTTAAAAAATTTGTATCTCCTCAACGGAAGGTCTTGGAAAGTTGGAAGCGGTCTTATTTTGTAGAGGACACTTTACTCTATAATGTAGAACATTTAACTCAAAAATAAAAAAAATTTCTAAAAGAGTCTAAAATAAGAGGGGTTATCTTTAATTTTCTCTCACGGTACGCAACAGAATTTGATAATATATACACCAATAGATAGCAGAAATCTTCCTCCACAAACCTACATATATCCCGTTTTGTGGTCAAAACATCACAGTCGCCTTTCTCCCCTTTTTGTATAATTATAGAATCAAATTCTCAAGCACGTGACTCAAAATACTACAATCGATATTCGAATAAAATTTATATATAGTGCTATCACCATTTTATCGATTTTTGAGTTGTTCTAACGAGGGAAGGCCACCAACTCCCTCCTCGCTTTTGAGCTTAAACTCAGTTGACAATAGGTAATCGAACGTGCTGATTCCGAATATCACAATGGTTTTTGCCCGCTTTCGATTTAAAGACCCGTTTTTTAAAGATCTT